ATGCTTAATAAATGTTGAATCTGATTCAGGTGATAAGCTACTTTCAGAAAAGCAATGTCTATTTTAATATTCAAGGGAAAAAATTACCATTACCATCACCGCCACAAAAACCCTAAACATCTTATTCAGGAAGGACTTTAGAACATCAAACTCAATACGTCCAAAAAGAACTTCTTTTGTCTTTCCGAGCAAACCAACTTACTGATTTCTGTGAGGGGTATCACCAGTTTATCAATCACCCATATTTCGCCAGCTCAGTCATTCCCTCCTTCCCCAAATCCAATCATTTTCTAAGTCCTTCCTGTTTGATTCAACCACCACTCACATCATCTCTACCCAAGTTTAGGCCCGACGGCCTATCTGCCATTAAGTAAAGGTCTGACACCAAAGGCAGGATTATGTAGTTGATAGAGACCTGGTCTGGGGGGGTCTGGAAGATCTGGTTTCAAGTCTAGTCTCTGACACATGCAGGCTCTATTACAGAGGACAGGTTATTTAATTGCTGGGTCCCAATCGGCTCTTTCATAACACCATAAATTGTAGCATAGTTTCAGTTTCGCATTGGTCAGAGTTTCCTCATTGGTAATTTACCTGTGACAAAGAAACAAAAAATCCCCCCAAAACAAACAAAAACAAACCCTCTATGTTACTTTCCTCCTCAAAAAGCCTCTCTACTGTGGACAGGATAAAATACAAACTCTCCTGTTTGGCATTTAAAGCTCTTCACAATCTGGTTCCAATCTAACTTCTTAAGACTGATTTTCTTATCGTTCCTCTTTACAGTCAAGTCTCAGCTACACTGGCTGACTTATTTCCCTACATAGCTGGCCATTTCCTGACTCAGTGCTTGATTACCCAAACAGTTTCCCTTCTCATTTCTGTTACGATTCCTGCCTCCCTTCAAGAAGCAGGTCCCTATACTAGGCCTTTCTTGATTCTTGTCAAGTGATCTCTTCCCCCACCAAATTACATTTACTTATCTGTGTATATATTATGTCCTCCAATAGAATATAAGATCCTTGAGGAAGGGACTGTTTCATTTTATCTTTTATTTCCAGTGCCTACAACAGCGTCAAGAACATAGAAAAAGTGCTTAATAAATGCTTGTTGAATTGAATTTACTTTCAGCAAGTTATTTCCCCACCTCTGAACATAATTTTCCTCATCTGAAACCTGAGGGGTTGGACTAGATCTTAAAATGTCCCTTTTAGGAATGACATTCTGTGATTCTACCTGAAGATCTGTGGCTCCGGGATTTTTTAGTTCACTGCTTTTATCACTTGCTCAATGATTTCAGAAATGAGAGCACTTCTTCCACTAATGCAGATGTTTTTCTCTCCATAATTTCTTATCCTGTGAAATTCTCATGCACATCCTTTTGTAAATCCTTAACAGATCTTTTGTTATTTCATGGATGAGTGTAACTCCTGGGCTGCTACATGACTGGCCATACTCCCTTTACTAGTCAATCTGTCTTTGATGATGTCTTTTATGCCACTACTTCTGCACAAGTCAAATTGGTAATAGGTTGCAACACATATTCCCACCAGGCATCTTTTCACTGCTCTCTGGATCATCTATGATTTGGATCCTTTCCAGAAAAAAGTGTTCAATGAGTCATAACCACACAGCATCACGAGAATCTAGTGATGCTTAAAAAAAAAGGGAGAGGGGATGGTTTTGTATCTTGGGATCACTAAAAACACTGAAATCCTATCTCCCTCTCTTATTCAATTCTGGGCCCATCCAACCGTCCATCTGCCACTCCCTTACAAGATATGTCACTGGCTAAAATGGTGCATTGCCCATCCAACAGCAATATAATTTCTCTCTCTTTTTTTTTTTTGTTTTTGGGTATGAATGGTTAAACCCATCTCTTTTGAGTGATGGTTTCTTTTCAGTGAAGTTTCCCTGGAGTATTCTAGGGCTCAATGTAATCAGTACATTGTCAGGTAGCTAGGTGGTACTAGTTAGATGATAGAGGGCTAGGCTTGGAGTCAAGAAGACCTGAGTTCAAACCTAGCCTCAGATACTTACTAGTTGTGTGACCCTGGGTAAATCACTTTACCTCTTTATGCTTTAGCTTCCTCATCTGTAAAATGGAAAATAATAATAGCACCTGCCTCCCAGGGTTGTTGTCAGAATAAAATGAGATGTAAATCACTTAGCACAGTGCCTGTCACCTAGTAAGCACTATATAAATGTTAGCTATTATTATTACTGTCATCTTTAAAGAGATGCACCTGGAGAATGGATAGGAAATCCTACTTGGACTTGTACAGGACATATCCTCCAAGACAATGGTAAATATTTTTGGTAGGTGTGTCTCCTTTTGGGTATTTCTTTGATGTTAACTAATGATCTTAGAATATCCACGTAAGACACCCAGTTTGAAGGCAGCCTTTAAGGATACATTTTACGCTAAAAAACAAAAGAGGAGTAGGAATATTAGCACCACAGCCCAACTGCTTAGGTAGCTAAGGAATACTGGGATGTCCTCTGTTTCCCTCACCAAAAAACTCAAATTTCCATTTTTAAAATGTGAAAATAGGATTTAATATGTGGAATTTTGTTTTATAGCCAATTTTGCTAGAATTATCCATATGGGACACTCTTACTGCTAGCTTAGGTTATCATTTCAAGAGTAAACATTTATTGTTTATATAGGACTTAGAAAGATTGTGTCATGATACTATTAGGAGACACCTTGTTTTCTAGAGCTAAGGTCCAGCAAGTCAGCTGTGCCCTGAGCTTGACATAACAACAATCCTTTGTGCTCACATTCAGGATGAACTCAGCCACAGCAAAACCCCAGAATTGTTTCACACCAGCAGCAGGTGTTCCCTGACCTCAGACAAGCGTCTACAGTACCCATGTCCTAGTCATGAAACCTTGCTATGAATCAAACTTGTTTCATTGTTGCTGTTCCCCCTCATTGTCAGGGCTAAAGCTCACTCCTTGATCATTGTTATATATATTGAGATTTACTCACACTAAAGCTAGGCCCCTACTGGAGGGGGCCCCCAGCACAAGTGTCTAGTTTCCTTCCTCCAATGGAATAAAGAAAGTTTTTTGCTTATGATCACTATTAGCTCTTTGGTTTTACTTTGTTATTTCAGAGTTAACTGTGGTTGTGATAACCTGTGTGAGCTCTGTTTTCTTCCCCCCAAGCATTAACAGGGGTTACATAATCTCTGACTCTGGTCATTTGTAATCAGGGTTAACAACAGCACTCTGCAAGATTATGAACATCCCTCCCCAACTCCAATAACAATGGATGATTAGTTGCAGCTCTGACAGAGAACATCTAGGTTGCTATGGCTAAGCCTGCCAACCTAATGCCCAACTCCCTACCTCCAAGAAGCCAACTAGATTAGCTCATCTTTGATACTGGTAGTTCACAATTATCTTAGTACATACACATAGTTACCACTTGATAACCATGCTGTTACATGCTATAACTACACAACAATCCACCAAGATATTTAACCAGTTTATTAATCATTCAATCTAAACAGCTATTTCATCAGTTTATGACTAATTCATCCTTTCAATGAGGCTTAAATATAACTACTTCCCTTACATGAGTAATTTATGTCAAGCAAGGGTTAAAGAATGTGGATTTCATTAACTTTATGCTCTGTGACTCTTTTGGAAGAAGCAACTACACAGAACCAAGGGAGAATAAATTTTAAAAATTTCAAAGATATATCAAAACACCTCTTTATTGCAATAATTTCTATCTAGGTTATTCAATGTGTTGAAGCCTATATATAATGTATTCCTAGGAACAATGACATGGCTGTTGAAAAGGGAATTATGATTTTTATATTGATATGTGTAGTGAATATATTAATAATTTATTTTCTCAAGAGCCACCTCTCTGGCTCAGAAGTCAAGAGCTCACCATGCAGCTTGAACTGATCAACCAAACCTTTGACAATGCTCACCATCACTGGAGCTTAAGTGGAGTGAATCAAAGCTTGTGGAACCTGCTTCTGTCACAAAACTCTGGTTCTGTGCCCTTGGGGAGGTGTTCATGACCCCCAAAGACTTGACTCCAGAATTGCTGTATTGTGGGATTTGTGGGTTTCTCATGAGAAAACACTAAATGATTGTTTGTAATCCATCTTCCCCCCTCCTTCCTCACCTGTGATTTAAGTATATAACCTGTGCTTTTACTTCAGCTTAGAGAATATTTCTCACTCGGAAAGTGACTAATTAAACTACTACTTGATTACTGGCACTCCTGACTCTAGGCCTTCTCTGTGCAGCTCTGAGCATTCTCAGGTTAAAGACTGGCTTGGTAAAAATTCTGTTTACAGTGTGCTTTAAAGATATACTAGGATTTAGAAGCATAAACAACTTTGGAAACCAGGTAGCTCAACCTCTTCATTTTACTAATGAGGAAACTGAGTCCCTTCTGAAATTCAGTAACTAAATGGAGAAACATGATGGGATATAAACAAAGACTGCTAGTCGAGAAGTCAGAAGAGACAGGTTTAAGTTTTATTTTTTGTGTCCCCCCCCATCCAACAGTAGACAGTAGGCACTTCTTTTGTGTATGGGTTAGACTATAAGGTCTCTGAGGTCCCTTCAAACTTAAAATTCTATGACTCTCCATAGAACCTTCTCTTAAAAATGGGAAGCAAAACCATGATCAATTGTAATTGACAGCACAAGTAACTTTCTATGCTTGAAGCTCACCATTTCTTAACAGAAAAGGAAGTGTGTTTTAACTCCAGTATCTGAAGCTAACATTGGCCATTGGAATTACATAATTCTCTATTGTAGTCTTTGTTTATGTCATTGTGGTGTGTATATCCTTTTTAGTTCTGTTTTCTTTGCTTTGCATCTGTTCATATGAGACTTCTCATGTCTCTCTGAATTCTTCATATTATTACATATATAGTACTATTACATTCGAGCTATATATCACAATTTGTTTAGTTATTTCCCAATCAACAGGCAACAAAACTGGTTTCCAGCTTTTTTCTTACCATTAGTGCTGCTATTGTAGACAAAGGATCTTTCTGTCATTCACTTCTTGGACGCATAAACCCAATGGTAGGATTGCTGGACCAAACGGTATGAATGAACAATTTAGTAAATTTTTTTGGACAATTCCAAACTGTTTTCCAGGACCAATACGGATGTATTCACAGCTCTACCAACAATGTATTAGTGTGACTATCTCCCATGAGCCTTCAAATTTGACTACCATTTTTTACCATGTGACAAGATGATGACAGTGAGCTGACAACTTGTAATTGTCTAATCTACATGTTATATTATTTGCAATTTGTACTATTTTTCATATAGCATTGATAGTTTTCATTTCTTTTAAACCTGTTGTTCAACAATATCTAATTTAAAAAAAATCTCTGAAGCATTCTTTAACAATAAGCAAGCTGCCTTTTCAAAATAATTTATAACTATAAGCCATCATCATGCAAACTTGTCAATTACATCTCCACCGCATGTCTACCATTTGCCCTCTTCTCTCCAATAGCTGCCACCCTCCTTCAGGCCCTCATCACCTCTCCCACACTACTGCAATCAAGTCCTAATTGGTCTTCCTGCCTCTCTTCTCCTCTCTCTCTCTAATTTATTCTACACACAGCTGTTTGGTGTTTAAAGCCCTTTCCTGGCCTTTAAAGCCCTACATAAGCTGGCCCTCTGCTACCTTTCCACTCTTCTCGTGCTTTACCTCCTCTACACACTCTGTGACTGATGTTCGTGGAACAAGACCTATTCCTCCTCCCTACTGCTCATTTTCACTAGCTTTCCAACCCTTTGAATGCTCTCCCTCCTGGCTTTCTTCAAGCTCCGCCTAAAACCCCACCACATTATGCAAGAAGTCTTTCCCAATCCCTATTATGTGCTAGTGCGGGTCCTTCGGGATTATCTTCATTTTATCCTATACGTTACTTCTAAGTACGGTTGTTTGCAAGTTGTCTCTCTCGTTAGAATGGAAATTCCTTGAGGGAAGGGCTTGTTTTCGCCTTTCTATCCCCAGTACCTAGCATAGTGCCTCACACAGAGTAAATGCGTAATTTACACGCCGACTTCACAACTGTCAAAGCGATAACCCTCATCCCCTCGGCTCACACTCCAACGCTCCCTACCCCCTAGCTAAGACCAAACACCAACTCTTGTCTCCTGCACCGAGGAGCCCTTTCCCACCCCCACGGTACGTACCGGCCTCCCAGCAATGCTTCCCACCCGACCCTCCGTCTCCGGTCTCCAAGCCTTCTCACCCCCTCATCGTCTCTACCTCTAGTAATTGCTACTTTTCTCCAAAGCTCGGCTCCACGGTCCCTTCTCATGAAGTTTTCCCGATCCTCTGGGATGCTAGGGCTCCCCTCCCCACACTAGCCCGTCCGCGATGCACGGCCGCCCCCGTCCCCACTCCGAGAACGGAAGCTCCTCGGGGGCAGGAACGACTTCGCTTTTGTCTTCGGGTCCAACCGGGTGCCTGCCAGTGGCCATTTAACAGACGCTCGGCGACCGATGCAACCGGACGAGTCTCTTTCTATTTGGGAAATTAAGGACTCCGCCCCCCCCTTCGGTCCCTTTGACAACACTCGTGGAAGTGGGTACGGAGGGGCTCCACGTCCCTCCCACCCTCCGGCCAAGCAGAGCGGGCTTCCGGGCCCGTCTCGGCCCTTTCCACGGACGCGACAATTTTGAATTTTGCCCCCGAGAACTTGGCCCTCGCTCCCCCGCACGCACGAGGCCCCGGACGGGAAGCCCTCGAGGGCCGAGCCCGCCGCCGGCCCGGGCCGAAGTCTGCGCGGCTCGAAAAGAAACGGAAACAAAAGGGGCCCGGGCCCCGACGGCGCGACGGCCGCCGCCTGTCAAAGCCCCCGCAGCCCCGCGCCGGGGGAGGGGGCGCGAGCTGACGGGGAGCCGCCGCCTCCCCCCCACACACCTGATGCTCTTTCACCACCTCGCTGAGGCAGGGATACCGCTCCGAGATCCACCGGTAAAACTTGGGGACTCCCATGTCGACCGTCACCGACCCCGCTTGCAGCCGTCGCCAAACCGAAACCAAACCCCCCGCCCGGGCCTCGGCCGCCGCCTCCGCCGTCGCGCCGCCGATGACAACACAGGCCCCGCCCTCCGGACCATAGAGAACGCCGCGCCGCTGCCGCCCGCCGGGGGCCTAGAGAGGCCGTGCCCGCGCCCAGCTCACCCCCTCCCCCGCCGGCTCCCGGCCCCGCCCTCCCAGGGAACGCGGCCCGGGGGCGCCGGGCCGGGGCAGAGGTGACGCGCAGCGTGGCCGTGAAACAGGATCTGGAAACGGGGGAGGCCTGGCGGACGCCTTCCGTCCGCGGAAGCTGCCTGAGGGCAGGCAGGCCCCGAGCGGGCGGGTGGCTACGTCCCACCTTGGGGGCAGGGGGTTCGCCTTTCTTGATGCCCCCGCCCACGGCACAGGGCATGGCACACAGTGGGCTTAATGAAGCGGGACGCAGCGGCCGTCCTCCCCTCCCCCAACAAGTACCGACGTTACGAGCACCCCTTCCAGTCTTGGGGGATCGGCCTCTGGCTCCCTTCTCCTCCTCGCCTACATAACTTCCCTCTCCTTACAGCCCCCCGGCGCCAGGGAGCTCTGGACTGGGCCCATTTACTGTCCAGGACACTAAGTGTGTCCTGATGATGCACTTAGGCCACTCTTGAGTTACTGAGGAGAAAGTCGGAATAACCTGAGGGACGAGCAAACGAGGCCTTGCATGTGTCTGGGCACATGCCTTCATTTTTTCACCATCGCATCAACAACCGTGCTGCCAGGCATACAGGGTTCTGAAAAAATTTTCTTTGGAACTTAAGAGAAACTGCATGATTCACTCCGGATTTTGGACTCTCAGATAATTTAACTTTTCGATCACTTTTAAATTGTGCTAAACACTCTGGAAAAAATGTTATTCAAAAAGTTACATTAAAACCATAGAACTGGGTAAAGAATTTTTATACAATCCTGTTTTTTAAAGAGCTGCTTAAGCAAGGGGTAGCAGAGACTTAGAAAGGAAGGAGGTGGAAGTGGTCTCTACTCAAGCTGTCACACATTTTACTTGAATTATCTATCAGGAATGTTCACACAAGTCACTGGATAATTACTGTCCCTTAATTTTGTGTGGTGTATGTTACACAAACCACGATACATTCAAAAATTGTAATATGATAATCCTAAACTGTGTAGCATGACCAATTATCTCTATCAAATAGTTGGCAGTCTAGAAGAGAACTGAAACATACCCACTGTATTTATGCCAACCTTTGACTCAAAATAGTATCATTATAGTATCATTTATACAGATACTTTTTTCCCCTTCAGTCTATATATAATACATATATGTATATCAGGATAATATAATTTATGTGATTATGATACATATTTTCCTGAAAAAATCTGCATCTGAACAAAATTTTATTTTTGAAGTCTATTAACAATTATTAACAATTAACAATGGTATTAATACCATTTTCCAGGAAGAAAGCATAGCAGTTGATCTTCTAGAACAGTAATGAATGCATGTGACAATCTGGTACTGAATCACTGTAGTAACACCAACTCTGCAGTCAAAAGAGAAAGTATTAACTTGTAACAGTTCCATTTCACAAATATGGAGTCCAACCAAGATACATCTGGCATAGCAAGTTTTCATCAGTTGCTTCTTGAATGAGGTAGTGCACATGTCCTTCAATAGATAAAGGTAGCCCTGTTACTCTATTCCTAGCTTTGATTACACCTTGCAGTCTCTGTTCGATGTCAAGTACGTGAGTCTTGGCCTAGAAATGAGAAAACAGAAAGTTTTAAATTAGTAGAAATATCTACATATTCAGGTATGGATGAATGTTTTTTAAATTCCTCAAATCCATTGCTGTAGCTTCTTTGCTTTAACCATTTTTCTGGTCATATCAGTGACCAACACTTTTGCTGGAATGTAGACAGGAAAGGGGAAAAGAGAAAAATCCATTTCAGAAGTTTAGAGTCTGGGCATGCATTCTGATTCAGTCAGTCAATAACCATTCATTAAGCACCTAGTTGTGTCAAGAACTATATGCTAACCACTGGAGATAGGGAAAAAAAAAAGGTAAAGGACAGTCCCTGCTCAAGAAGCTCATGGTCTAATAATGGGAAACATGACATGCAAACAGCTGTGTACAAACAAGCTTCATGGAGGATAAAGTAGAAATCATCAACAGAAGGAAGACATTAGAAATAAGAGGGACTGGGAAAGGCTTCTTGTAGAAGGTGAGATTTTAGCTGGGACTTGATGGAAGCCAGGAGGTGGAGAAGAAGAGGGAGAGTATGACACACATGGGGGAACCAGAGAAAATGCCCAGAGCCAAGAGATGGAGCCTCTTGTGTGAGGAGCAGAAGAGAGATCAGGGTTACTGAATGATGCTGTGCATGTGTGTGGGAGGGGCCAGGTTATGAAGTGCCAAAAAGGATTTTTTTTTAATCCCAAAAGTGATGGGGAGTGATTCAAGTTTGCTGAGCAAGGGTCAGGGGGAGGCAGCACAGTCCACTTTGCACTTTAAGAAGGTAACTCTGTTAGCTGAGTGGAGGATAAAATGGAATGGGGAGAGATTTGAGGCAACCATCAAATTACTGCAATAGTATAAGAATAAGGTGATGAGAGTCTGCACCAGGGTAGAGGGAGTGTCAGAGAAGAGAAGGCAGCATGAGAGGAGCTGAGGATGACACCTACATTTTAAGTCTGAGTGACTAAAAAGATAGCATTACCCTCAAGAAAAATAAGAAAGGAAGGGGGTGGACTTGGAGGGAAGATAATAGAGTTAAATTTTGGACATGTTTAGTTTAAGATGTCTATAGGACAGACATCCAGCTTATGACATCAAACCGACAGTTGGAAATGCAAGACTGGAGGTCACACCGAAGACGTTAGGGCTAGATAAGCAGATTGTGAATCTTCAGCAGAAAAAAAGATAACAATCTATGGGAGTTTTCATTGCTACCTCATGTACCCAACTCTCATTTAATGCTAGTTCTTAGACAGTTTGGGGAAATGTGAAAAACTCCACATTGAGACATGCATATACTCCCTAAACTTCCAAGAGCCCATTAACTAAATAAGATGCTCAGGATAATTTTTCTAAGAAATAAGGGATGATGGCAGTTCAGTGAAAGAATGAAGAACCTGTTTATTGAAAGACAAATATTGCTTTGACAAAACTTTTGTTCAGCAATCATTAAGTGCCTACTATGAACAATGTATGGTACTGTCTCCTATGTAACCTGAGTGAATAGGGATTTTGATTCTTCTTCTGACCAGTTAACATGGAGTGGGGGTACAGAGAATACTGGCACATAAAGAGGATAAAGGGTATCAGAGAAGAGCTGGAAGTTCCAGACAGTAAGACTTATGTTCACTGTGATAGCCATGCTATATTTGGATCTTTCTTTCCAGCCCAGGGATCTAACTTTAGAAGTCAGGTGACTTTAACACTGGATAGAAAGTTACATCAACACAATGAAATGGACGTTTTTCTAGACTATTGAAACATCAAATCCTATTTGTCCTTCATATTATCATCCTACAGAAATCAATTTTGTTTTTCATTGTGCTAAATATACAGTTTTAAAAAATTCTTTCATGTTTAAAACCCAGTTAAAATTTTAAGTGGAAACTTCATTTTATCCTCTCAGTCACCATTTACTAAGTGCTAATATGAGGGTATGAAGATAAAAATGAAAGTCCTTGCCATAAAATAATTTACATTCTACTCAGGGAGATAACATGTATACAGATAAGTAAATACAAGGCACTTTGAGGAAGAGAGAGAGTACTAACAACTAGGGGAAATCAGAGAAATGTGGCACCTGAGCTAAAGCTTCAAGTAATAGAAGGATTTAGAAAGGAGAGCATCCTGGGCAGGAGAGAGAGCCTCTCTGAAGGCATGGAGACTGAAGATGAAATAACTGGTGGTTAAGTTTGACGAGAATGTAGAGAGCATGAAGGGATTGAGTAAGTTTGAAAGGTGGTTTACACTGTGAGTGTGGAGGGCTTTGAATGGTAGTAGGCTAAGGAGTTTGTATTTTGTCATATGAGCAGGGAAGTGACATAGTCAGAAGTGCTTTAGAAATATCAATTTGGGGGTGGAGCCAAGATGGCAGCATGAAAGCAGTGACTTGCTTGAGCTCTCCCCCCAAACCCTCCAAATACCCATAAAAAAATGGCTCTAAACAAATTCTAAAGCAGCAGAACCCACAAAAAGACAGAGTAAAACAAATTTCCAGCCCAAGACAGCCTGGATGGTTGATTGGAAAGGCATATCGCACCAGGCGGGTAGAGAAGCGAAGTTTGGCGTGGGCGCACAGGCCACAGAGAACCTGGAGCAGGCCTCAGAGGACTGAATCGCAGGCAGCTGTGGTGGCTTCCAGACTCCCCAATCCACGAACGCCAAAGACCACTTAGAAGGTCAGTGGGAAAAGTCTGTTTCTGCGGTGAGAGAAGAGCTACTTCAGAGTTAGTTCCAGAGCGTGGGTGCTGGGGGCGGTGTCTGTGTCCTGAGCTTCTGGCCCACAGACTGAGGGGGAATGAAGTGGCTGATCAGAGGGGGACTACAGGGATCACTTTGCCAGTCCTGAGGCAGGAATCTCTTGCTTTGCCCATACTTGGATCTGGGTCACAGTTCTGGGTGGCGGTCCTCAGGTGAGGAAGAGCGCTGGCACAGTGGAGCTTGTAGTGGCAGTGAAGAGAAAACCCTCCTCACAGTTCCAAGAGAGAAAAGACTACTTGTGGTCGGTCACTCAAAGACCAGAGCACCGGCCAGGAAAAGAGTAAACGCCTCGACCCTTATCATACCACCTTAGAAGAACTGAAAATTTACAGGTCCCTACAAGTATCTCTGAAAATAGCTGTACAAACCCCTGAAGCTTGGGACAGTACATTCTCC